TCGTCTGCTATAATATCAGCACTGAAACAGTTTTCATTTTCTTCATTGACTTGCTCAGCCAGCTTAGCAGAAGAACATGTTCTTTCGCCTTGCAAGTTTGCAACTTCTCTCATAAATTTCTTCTCATATGTTGCTCCCACCGGCAAGATATTGTGGTTCACTTCTTCTATAACATTCCCATCAACGTCTGGATTCATTTCATCATCAAACTCAATACATATATGATCAGATTTTGATGAGACAGTTGTATCAAAGTCATGAAAGTCTCTCTCTGAGAAGATAACATCACAACTGTGAATGAAATGTTTAGCTTGAAGATGATAAAGCTTATACCCCTTTGCTCCAATTGGGTAGCCACCCAATATAGCTTGTTTTGATTTAGCAGCAAATTTATGACGATATTCATCAGCAATGTGCAACCAAACACTTTAAGATTCAACATATTTGGCTTTACACCATACCAGCATTCAAATGGTATCTTCTTATTAAGTGCAACTGTTGGGCTGCAGTTTCTCAAGAATACACCTGTGCTAACTGCTTCTGCCCAAAATGAAGTTGGTAATTTAGCATGACGTAACATAGAACGAGCTGTTACCAAAATTATCCTATTCATGGGCTCTGCAACACCATTTTGTTCCAGATTCATTGGAGTTGTTGTTTGATGTATAATTCCTTTTCTCTCGTGTATTCTATGAATTCTTTGGAGCAATATTCACCAACATTATTAGTACGAAGTATCTTGACTTTATTCCAAATCTCATTGGTTGTTAAGTTTACAAATTTTTCGAATTTTTCTAGCACTTCACTTTTTGCCTAAGGAAGTAAACGTGGATATACCGAGATGCATTCGATAAATGTTACGAAGTACTTTGACTTTCCAATCGATTCCAGGTTAATTGGTCTGCAAACGTCACTATGTATTGTTGACAATACCTCAGCTGCTTGAGATGATGATGCTTTCGGAAATGCATTGTGATGCTTTCAAAGAACTATGTCTAAAGACAACAAAGAAGCGAATCTTTTTTATGTCGCTTTAGTGGCCTCAAAATCCTGCCCTACCAGTGAACAGATTGCACCTGGTGTTTTCTAAATAATTGCGTCGGGTTTTTACAGATGTGAGTTTGCTGAGGAACACATTGGGCACATATCCCCCTTTTTCCAAAATTCAGTTTACCTGCCCCATTGTAGCTCACCAAGTTTCCCATTTTTTCAACTTTATAACCAAAAGGTGCCCTTGGATTGCTTAGAAGCTATACGAAGTGAGCACGCAAAGTACCTCCTCTTTTGATCCTGCCACAAGGCCTCTGAAACCTCTCGGAAGCACTACAAACAACCAAGCCAGAAAATGAGGTTTATATAATTGTAGCCAGGCTTTATGTAACAGTCTTTTTTAACAATAATAGAATGATATGATTCCTTATCTTTGCCAAATATTACTCAGTTCCAAACAAAATAAATGCTCCCGACTTTTACAAAAAATAAAAAAAAATCTCAGAATTTTCACCATTCAATACTTGTAATCTTTACAAGAAATACGTTATATTTGATTCAAATTTCATTTAGCGTTAGTAATTTCAATAAGTTGGCTTTATTTAGCCTTAATATAGCTAAGGAACCAGGGAATTCTACAAACTTGCCGGACGCAGATTTTCTCAGAATAATACACGGATTGCAGAAATTTCCTAATTGTTTCGCGGGATTCTTAACCTGCTCTATGTTGGATAAGATTTCATCATCGCATGTTTTTATCTTGTTAATATATAAGTTGTTCATAAATAAACTTATATACATTCAGAGGTGGCGCCAGAAATCTTCCGACAGAGGGGTTGGAGCTTCCGACAGGGGGGGGGGGGCTAAATTGACTAAAATATGCAGTTTTCGTACGTTATTTTGTCAAACTTGCTCCGACAATAACCTAAAATTTTCTTCCGATAGGGAGGCTAGATGCTTCCGATAGAGGGATTGTAGCGCCCTAGCCCTCACCTGGCGCTACCACTGTATACATTCTATTGCCCAGTTGCCCCCTAGCTGCTATTTTTGACCAGAAAGTACTTATTTCAACATTGTAAGGGCGTGTATGTTGAATAAAAGTTCTTCAGCATGAAACTGTCTTTCAGAATATGTACATATAATGTGGTTTTAGCGACATCAAAATTTGAACCCCTGCTGATCAGTGCGCCATATGGGATTTGCCCAAATAAGGAATTCCCAATCAGTGGCGGATCCAGACTACCGCCATTACCGTTCGAGCGGTAGTCAGATTATTCAAAAAATTATAAAAAAAAGGATCATTTTCATGTTTATCCTACTACTTTAATTAAACCATAGTTAAAAATTGAAAATATTTGATCGCGCTGCAAACCAAGCTTTCCTTTCTAGAAACATGCCTGAAATTTACCACAGAGACATTTTTTAATCCTTATCGCTATGGAATTGCGTCCCAATTGGCCGAGTCACATGTTTGCAAATGAAAGGCTAGCATGGGGGGATGATGAAATCATGGCTTGCTAGCTAGGGGGGTTGAGTCTTTGTAGAGCGGATTCGAGCTGCACTGAGCGGTAGTTCTCCTGCCTAAACCAATCAAATCATCAGAAATCACAGCCAACCTGGGGTGATGCATACAAATTTTGTTGACAACCAATGAACAACCGAGTTGACTACCGCTCAGATGGGGGTTAAGTAGTACTGCCGCTCAACACGGCTCAAACGTTACAGAAAGATGGGGGGATGCCTACATATTCTGCAAGTGGGCAAACTGTAACTTCAAAGCCGATGTGACCCATTATTTTGTACAATACACAACTATTCGTAGGAATTTATTTTATGAGAATATTGAGACTCAAATATTCTAAAATTTAAGAAGGCATCAAAATTAAAAGTCAGGCCCACAATGTTCGCCAAAAGTATGATTCTTTGTTTAACAAAAGTTGCCCTCAATAATTGCAAATTTTATCTGGCTTTTTAAACTTATAATTTCCAACAGGTCTGATTTTCATAAGTAATTGTGCGACTAAATGCGAGTTTTAGGCGACACTTCAAAATTCTACCAAATGTATCTTTTTTCTAATTCTATGGTGTTTCTCGGCTAAATGCTGTAAATTTTTTTTGAATATCCATCCTCAGAATATTGAACAAGATTATTTATTTCTTCTCAAGCTTGTTGTAAGGATACATGAAATTTCAGTAAAGCACCGCTTGTCTCTTGAAAATGGTCTACATAAGAAGTTATAGAAAGCAATAATCATTTTAGAAAACCGGGTGTGACCAGGAAATGGGTGTGGTCTAAAGGGTGTGGTCAACCCCTTATCTCATTTCGGCGGTAGACAGATTTTTGGCTGGATCCGCCACTGCCAATGTCCAATTGATGGGGCTTTTTTCTGGTTATCCCAGTATCGTATTGAACCTATGTGCCAAATTACAGCTTTTTAATATTTTTGTCCGGGTAAAATCGTAATTCCACCACACTATATTATCGATTTCATCAAATAGAGACATCTTCAAGATTTCATCAAAGGCTTTCCGATATCTTTCAACGCTTTAATTTAAAGGAAGCAGTTTTGTTTAGAGCATCTTCTTTCAAGCTTTGTGAATTTTAGAATTTTGCTTTCGCTTCATTGGCAAAAGTTGCAAGAATTTCGACATTACATTGATTTTTTATTTCAAAGATATGAAAAATAGCCATCTTAAAGTTTCTATTCCTGATTACTTTTTTTTAAATGTCTTATTAAACATAGCATCTTATAAGGATACTCCGTTTGTTAGCTTTAAGTTTATCCAGCTTGTAAGATTTGATTATTTTAATATGAAATTGCTTTCTCTCAAAAAATTGAAGAAATAAAGGCTTGTTTTTGTCGTCAAAAATTGTCGAAAATTTTTGTTTTTGATGAATTCTTTTGGAGGTGTAACTTGAAATTTTCCTCAAATTTGTCAGAAATCGATAGATACCAGATTCAAAAGCTTGAATACTTTAGTGTCCTTACTTCAGCCTACTATGCACAAATGAGTTTTACAGGTCATAACATAATACTGTGAAAAAGCGATACAATTATTGCAAGTGATCTCTTCCACCAAGAGATAATAGAGGAAAAGAGACAAACAGCCAATTTAAGTCAAATGGCGCCTTTAGAGTAAGGACCTTCTGTTATTTTGATAATAAAGACTTGCAACCACAACCTTTTATATTCTACTTGATTGTTTAATTTCAATACCAAGAAAGATGTTTAAAGAAAGCAGGACTTTGATACAATAAAGGTAAATAAAAATCGATTCAGAAATGTGCCTGCAGAAATGGTTACTTGGATGCCAAAACGACGGGGGTGTGCACTCCTAAGATAGTTTTTGTGAACCGAATTTAGAAAAAAGAGCTAAAAATGATACCCAGCTTAAGAATTTTTGGATTCACTCAAAACTTCATTTCTACTGTATAGATAAATTTGTGCTCAAAGACTGTCTCAAAAATCACCCTTTAAACATACCTATAAACACACTTGAAAGTATCAATAAATTATCAGGAAAGATGTCCAGTTTCTGGTTTTCCATATACTTACCTTAAAACTAGGAATGGTTCATAATCCCGTCATAGATGCACTCACTGCTCAGCCTTAGATTCGGCGGTGATCGTCTATGTAATTATCACAACGGCAAGAAGGCTTTCATATTCACCCTCGAACTCAATAAATGTATCTTTGTCCTCTGGAATCAGGTTTTCCATATTCTTTCATTCAATACAGCTATTATGATAATGTAGAAGATTTATGTAGAATGTAGAAGACTGAAAAGAAACTTGGAATATTTATATAGTAAGGCAAATACATGTATGATCTTTATAGGAGCTCATATTAAAGTTTGTTTGGGGGTGTAATTTGCTGGAATCAAGACAATGTAAATTTTGACAATTTTGTAACACAAGTTTGTTCTCACATTTGTACTCAAATTATCCAAACGACTTTAGATTTTATCAGTTGAACAGACACCCGGCCTTAGAATAAATGGCTGGAAATGATACTCGGAAAGCTTTTTGATTTGAGCAAACTTTTTCATCAAATTTGTAATCCAATCTTTTTTGAACTGCTATGCAGTTTGTTACAGAATCTTTTTAAAGTAGTTCTTCATAATTCTGCTTAATTCTTTGGTCAAAAAAACAAGACATTCATATGAACAGGATAATTATGATTTAATTCAAACTCTGTTTAGAAAGAAATCAATTTTCTACCAGAAACTATCATTAGCTACCCTTTTCACATTGTGTTTATTTTTAATGAGTTTTGTTGCCTTCTTTGAGAAGCCATTTAGGTCTACTTTTGCAACCTAATAAACATTGTTGGCAGACCGTTTGGTGAAAATATTTTTCACAAGTGAAAAACTGCCCTCATGGATGAGCTTACGAGGGCTATTGCCCATCTAACAATTACTTGGTAAAGAATCTTTCAAGGCCTAAGGGGTGTATTAGGGTATCATCTTCCCACGACAGCCTTACATTTGATCTTCTAAATGTGTGGCGATTGCCAATTCTAATAACGCTTTGTTTTCATAAGCAGTTGGAACTTTTAGTCAAGGATACTTAGACTTATTTAGAAACTAACTTTACCGTAAGTGCTCTTCCTGTTTGTAAATGCTCTTAATTACTTTTTTCCCTTTGTGTGATACATAGCGTGTAACTTTGATAATTGTTCCTTTAAAGCTTGTTGAAGCTCTCTATATTTTTTAACGTTTTTCAATTTGGCAATTCAATTTGTTTATCTGTGGCCTTTAGGTTTGATAAATCTAGGGATCAAGGAATGATGTGAATAGCTACCACTTTAAATGAAAAGCTATCATTAGAGTATAATTTTTCTGCCATTTTGTCCTACATTCCTCTGCATCGGTTTCTTTGACCATCTACTTTCCAATGTCTTGTTGCTTGAAAATTTTTAATGTAATCTTGTGCTATTGCACAAATATTTTGCGAGTAAGTGCATTATCTTTCAATGCTAAGTGATAAATTTGAACCAGGCACCAAATCAGGAACCAGGAATCAGGAACTCATTTTTTTTCTTTTTTTTCAGTGGAGTCTGAATACAGATAAGACCAGGTTCATTGCTTGTGAATCAAGTAATAGTGTGGTAGACGGTAATGTTATAACACCATTTATCGCTACAAATCCAGCCAAACAAATAACCCTCAGAATAACTTATACTTTAAATTGCTGTTCAACGAAATTGTCCATTGGTGTCTATGTCCTTTTGGGCTCAGGTGAAACATCTGCGCCCAGTGCTCAAAGCTTCAAGTACATTTCTGCTTTAAAGAATACCTCATCAATGAATCCGTCATCTAGAGCACAGTTTACATCAGCTATTACCATTGGAATGGAAGGAAAGACTGGACTTTTTATTGCTTTCAGAGATCAAGGAATTTGTGGAAGACTTGATTCATTTCAACTCAGTTACATAGAATGTCCAAGCTCAGCTGGGGAATTAATGTCATTTCCATCTAAAAATGCAGCTCCAAACAGCACAGTTTCAGTCCTAAAGGTGCTTGGAACATGCTTTCCCAATGCTGATGTCCAAATTTCACAAGCAGCTAATTACATGTTTTGTTATACAAATGGTTCCACCAAGGTTAATGGTGGCTGTCATTGCAAAGCTGGATATGAATTTCTTTTTTTTAACAGTTGTAAAGGTGAGTCTATTTAATAAGTAAGCGTATATACATATATAAAACTTTCTTTTCATTCATTCCATGCACTCATGTTTGTTCTTAGCACAAAGCAACTATCGCGTCATCACAATCTCGATAATTTTGCTCCCGCACTAAAAATCGGACAACAATCAATTGAACATGCAAAGTAAACAAAGTAACTTGGTGTTTTCTTAGACCATCTTTTGTGGGAAGAGCATGAAAACGAGATAACATCATCCTGTTTTGGAGCTCTTGCCATAGTAAAAAAATTCAAAAAAATCATGCCAATGAAACTTGAAAAGCAAGTTGCTAAGTTGCTAATATTATCCAAATTGGATTATGTCGATGCCGTATTTCATTCGCTTTCATTGAAACTACAAAAACGACTACAAAAGGTGGAAAATGCAGCCGCAAGTTGTTTCTAGGCCGTTACATTAAAGAAAAGGATATCATATCACTAGGCAGGATACATTGACATATCATTGAAAGAAAACAGTAAACATCTGAGATCAAACTCTGCACCGCTAATTGCAACTTTAACCAATTCTAAAATTTTGAGGAACAATGCAGCTGATATTTTTAACAAGATACCAAACGCGATAAGAACTTCAAAAACGAAAGTCGAAATCTCATCAAAATCTAAAGAATATTTTCTTACTGAAGCAATAATTTGTTTGCTTCAGTAAGAAAATGGGGGCTGTTAGTTTGATTCAGAAAGAGAAGAACATAACTTCTAATTTTAATTTATTTTTAGCCAAGTTTGTAATATCGTAATTCTTACTTTTATAATCTTAATTTATTTTTAATCACAATTGAAAATTCTTACTTTTTAGATTTTAAATCACCTCTAGTCAAATTTAGCTATTTCAATATTTTCTTTTCAGATTAATGTAACATAATATAAGAGTCTGTTCATGTCACTTTTGGGATGGAAGGCACAATGCAACGTCAATAATTTCCTTACTTTCTATCCAAGTTTTGTAATTCTTCCTTATTGCATTTAATGATACCTGCTCAGCAAAGCTACAGCCCAAGTGTTTATTGCTTGGAACTTGTTACTTCAATTGAGCTTCGATTTCAATACTAATCTTAGTCATTTTAGAAATTCCTTTCTAAACTTATCTTCATTTCGTCTTCCATCACTCCACCGATTTCCCAGATCCCCAAGTACTTGTAGCCATCATTCTCAACATTCCTCATCAGTTCACCCACCATCTGGCAGCATAACTCCTTCATGGTCTACCGCGTTCCCCCTCTTCAGGATTAAGAAACCACATTTTTTAACACCAAACTCTATTCCAACATCTTGGCTAAACAAGTGTACTGTTTTCACTAAAGAATCGATTTGAGAATCGCTTTTACCATAAAGTTGCAAGTCGTCCACTCATATGCAGCTTTTAAATTCCTAAATACCAGGCTTAACGGTATAAGACAAAGCACAAACAGCAAAGGGGACAAACTATCACCCTGGAAGATCCCTCTTCTAATGTGAACATGACATAACCTTTCTCCACAATATGTTAATCCCGTTTTCAAGTGAGGCATACTTCGACGAATAAATTGTTCCGCTTTCCTAGTGACACCAAATAGTTCTTAGCACTCGATGATTGTGGCACCATGTCGTATGCCTTTCTATAATCGATTCAGGCCATAGCGAAATGGTGTGTCTTCTCTTACAATCTTTCAGGACCATTTTGTCTATTAATAACTGATCTTTAGTTCATCTCCTTTCACGTTTGCAGCCTATGTGTTCATTAGGTAAAATGTTGTTGCTCTCTAAGAATGCATACATGCTTTCTGCGATTATCCCAGTCATGAGCTTCCACAATAACGGTAAACATGATATAGGTCTAAAGTTGTCTACGGCGTTTTCCTCTGAGGGATCTTTCTGACATAGTATTGTTCTGCCTTTTGTCATCCATACAGGTAGCTCTTCCTCTCCATTCAAGATTTTATCCATCTGTTTAGCTATTCTGGCACCCTGTTGATGGCACGCTGTTGGCTTTTTCACCCAGAATCCCTGCACTCCATCAGGTCCAGGAGCTGTCTAATTTGGCATCTTTTTGCATTGGTCTTTTACTTCAACCTTAGAAATATGCATGTCCTGTTGTATTGGGTATGTCCCAGTTTCCTTGATTTGTTGTAACCATTCTGCTTGTTTATTATCCTTTTTTGCATCATCCAAGATTCCTCCCCAGAACTCTCTTCCTTCTTCCGCATTAGGTAGAATCTTTTTTAATTAGGTATATCCATCAATTTTCTTGAAACTTTCCTACATCAAATTCATAGGAGTGTTATGGTGATAATTTTTGTTCTTTATTGCCATGCTTTTACAGAATGCCCCGCAAAGAGTTTCAAAAGTGCTGCTGGCAACTTTAATTGCACCAGATGTGGTGCAAATGTTGAGGACGGACTGAAGCCCAGGACAACACCTTGTAAATGCAACAATGGATATTACAGGCCACTTCGATCTAAAAGTGTTCCAACTGTCGACTGTGAAGGTGAGCTTAATAGATTATTGATTTCTTATGAAAGAGAATGAATAGATTTACGAACCCATAAATACATTGAAACAAGTGGCTAGAAGGTCATTTACTTGTTTCACTAAAGATTCATCTCAAACCTTCTCTATCACATCATACCATTGTAAATATTTTATTTATTTCTGCATATTGGGGCAAGATATCAGTTGCGCTCAGAAGCTTTTAAGCTTTCCATTAAAATTTTTCCCTCTTTGACTATGTTAAAAAAATTTTCGGTCCTAATTAAATCCTTTTTTTCCATAAACGTGAACCATGGAAAATTTTTCATTTTATATCATTGCTTTCTAATGTGCACAATTCTCTTTTCACTTTAATATTACAGATCTTCTATCTTTTTTTCCCTCTACTGAATTTTTACTCAGCTATCCAGCTAGGTGCTAAATACTCAATGAACACTCGGTGCTAAATACTCAATGAACACTCGGTGTTCGGTAATCTTTTTGTATCATTTTAACTTCCATTTTTGATTCTCAATTTTTTGTTATCATTTTTAATCTCAATACTCGTAAATAAATATGGTTTTCAACAGCGCCACCATCTGCTCCAAATGTCGTTAGGGCAAAACAGATTGGGTCAAAGTGGATCTTATTAGAATGGATGGTTCCCATGGACCAGGGGACTGGAGGCAAACTGAGTTACACGATAAAAGCAAGCTGTACTAAATGTAAAATTCCACCTGACTTTACAACATCTAACCGTTTCTTCAATGTCACTGGGCTGAGCGCCTACACACGATATGACGTCAGAGTTTATTCCATCAACAATGTAACTGCTGCCATCGGCTTCGACAAAGCTCAGTACAACAGCACTTCAGTTTTGACTGGATCAGGATGTGAGTGAACGTTTGGCTTGAGTTACTCTGTTTGCTTAATGATTTTTTAATGGTCAGCTTTTGATTGAAAACATTCTGTTTTTCTTTTTTGCAAGACTCTGTACCAACTTATCGCGTATACATTCTTTACTCTGGAAAATTTGAAAAAATTGTTCAATGGTAGCAATGTCCGTGTATTGAGATAGGAGCCTAAATGAGAAAGTTGAGCTTTTTAGCGAGTTGATTTCACATTTGTTTACTTTGGGTAAATATCCTAACAGATATTTTGTTTGTTTATGTAGCATATCTCATTTTCAGTGCCTTCGGAGGTTCAGAATCTTACTAAATGGACAAACTCTGATGCATCAGTGACAATTTTCTGGAACGAGCCATTGACCAAGGGTGGTGATGATCTGCGATATTTTGTCACTGTTAATGGCGAAAAGGGAATGTTTACCACCAAGCTGAAATACACTGTTAAACAAGAGCAAGAAACGAAGAAGTACACTGTGTCTGTAAGTATGGGTTTTGATTCCCTAATTTCATACCAATTTCCAGAAACAGAAGTCTCTCAACCTACATGAAGAATGATTTTAGGTAAAACTCCCATACAAACATTTTAACTTTTTTCGAAAAAGATTTTGAAAGATTTGGTTCGAAGCCCTGTGAAAGCACAAACTCTTTCCAGCACAAACTGCTACAAAAAGAAATCCTAACTGCTTGTGACTTTGCTATTGGGGGAGGGGGGGCGTCAGTCGTGACACTCCCCTTGAGAAATGGTTCCATTGGACAAACGATAATATAATAATATATATAATTATATATATATATATTATATATAAAATAATAATAATAATAATAATAATAATAAATATTATTGTGGCTCACTAACTTTTTCGGCAAATGGGACTTGGAAACCCCCCTTGATCACAATAGCTAGCGAAAGGCCTGTCACTTTGAGAGAATGTGTGTTTACTTACTTATGCTTCTTTTATTTACAACCATTTGATACTGAGGCTTTGAAACCTAGTAAATGTCTTGAATTTAAAAAAAAGAGTCTTTAAGTCATATATTTGCCCTACCAAGACTGACAATATTAACTTTATGTAGATGTACTCGTGTAGAACGTAGAAATAATTTTTTACTATCAAATTAGGTAAAGTCACACACGAGCGCTGGATTTTCCAAAGAAGAAGTTATCAGCTTTGAAATTAAAGGAAAAGGAAAGTATTAGCCAGTGGAAATCAAAATTGTTATCATTAATAAGTCATATTTTTTAATTCTCCGCAGGGTTTTTAGTTTTTCATATCATATTACCGTGACATATGAATTGTAAACTTAAACCATATCTTATTGTTAACCAAGGTGGTGATGATATGTCCAGCTTTTTGCAAGCCTAGCACAATGTTCTTGGTACTGTTACTTGCTTTTATTTTTCATAAAATCTGCTGATATCTTATCATTTTACCTATGGGCCATTAAGCAAGCAATGCCTAATTGTCAGCCTAGCACAATATTCTTTGTACTGTTTTTTTACTTTTAAATGATATCTTCTTATCATATTGGCCATTGAGCCAGTCAGTTCTGTTGAATTAAAGGCGCCCTATAAGTCACCTTGAGTGACGTATGAATAATATATGGAACTCTATTTACAGGTATTTCACTGACTTTGGTCATTGCTGTCGTAGTCACATTGTTTGTTTTACTGTTGATTGCTGGCGCTTTCGTTGTATATTTCTATCGAAGGTACGTTTTTTCTGCTATGTTAGTTTTAATGTTTTCAAAAAAAAATTTATTCCAGTTCTCGTTATTATGGCTCAGCTCATTTACCAAAACCATCATGCAATTACCATAATTGCTTCTTTTTAGCACCTTTTGTTCCATTTTTTCAAATATTGTTTTGCAGAAATCGGGTTCTCCGTACGGTTTCTCTGAAGTTATTCCATATGCGCCACTCTCGCCCCTTTGCCCTTTTTCCTCGAATGACTCTTTGAAATTTCACTCTACTCCTCTAGGATATGCGTATAGATTCACTCTTTTTTTGACTTACTCACAGGCACGTAGATGCCTGAGGGTGCGGGGGTGTCGCACCAGAGAAAATTTGCATAGCCAAAAGAATTTTTCTCAATTCACAAAGATAATAACAAAACCGTGTAGTGTTAAGCGTCTGTAAATAAAATGTAAGTGCAAAATTACGATTGGCTTGTTGTCAGTCAGAAATTTAACACCTTTACCCCCCCCCCCCCCCTAAAATATCCGTCAATTCAGTTCCCTGATCATTAGCTGTCATTTTTATTATTCAATAATATTTTGTATCTTTGTCAATAAACAGTCTTATTTTTTTCTGCTTATCAAGGCGTCATCCAAAGCATCTTCAACCTGTTCGACTTGAAAACGGGGAAGGTTCGTAGCTGTTAAAGATTTCTTAGAAATTTTCACTGTACCCAGTTGTTCTTTCCGTATATGGCGAATTTGTTGATTCATTTTCAGTCGTCTATTTTCGAGCCATAGTTTCTTCGATCAATGTTGGTATTTTACTTCCATAACAGTTATTACTTCCTATAATCGTTTCTCTCAATGATTACATTTTGACTGCTATTTTCAGCCAATTACGATTTCAATTATTGTGCTTTTTTGGAGAAAAATATCTTTCATAAATATTGTGTTTAAATTATGCAAAGTTCGACCTGGCTCTAAGTCTCTCTTACATTGTTTAGTGATTCTCCCAAGTGGAAAAGGCGTTCAGGTTTATATTGACCCGACGACATATCAAGATTTGGAGGACGCTGTGCAGCAGTTTGCTAACGAATTAGACCGAAGCTGGATCAAGCTAGATCGTCTGATTGGTGGAGGTGAGTTGGTTTAAAGTTAGTTTAAGAGCATGGTTCTTCTGATAGTTGCAAAGTCTTAAAACGTTTTATCTTGGTGGCAGATTCTTACAACTGATATTTGCATTCGCGAATCTAACTACGGTTTGTTTGTGTCTCAATGATTAAGCACCTCAATGGTTTAGCGTTTCAATTTCCAATTTTTAACGATTCAAACAAAGCTGTTCAGGTGAAAGACAAGTGCCATAGGTGCAAACCTATTCTGAAATTTGGTCTGTTATCTACCCAAATTACTGATGATATCTTCCTCGGCTCTCTCTTCTTTGATTCATCACAAATAATTTTCCACTTTTAGTTTTACATATGTGATATGACACCGTCTTCTGTTGAAGATACCAGTGCTGCGCAACTTTAAGCAAATTAGGGCTCACCCTTTAGACACTTGATGGAGTTTTCCGTTTTGCGTTCTGACTAAATCTTCTAGTTTTTCAAAAATAAAACCATTTTATGGTACTAACTTAAAAAACGTCTTCGGTAAGCTGTGATGAATTTATTGTATTAAATATTAGATTTTCACAAGGTTTTAGGGCTGAAACTAGATGTCAGGCCCTGGCAAGCCATTTTCTTGGTTTGTAGGCTAATTTCCGTTGCTGTATACTGAAATGCGAATCAAAAAGGAATTGTCGAATTTTATGAATATTCTGTAATTAAAAATTATTCATAGGTGAATTTGGTGATGTGTACAAAGGAACTATGGAAAAACCTTCCGAAAAAGCACAAATTGTCGCCGTCAAGACACTCAAGGTATAAGTTTGTGATCTTTCGTTGACAAGTAGGACAAACAAGTAGGACATCAAATCATTTTCAATGTAGGTTCTAAATACTCTTACACTCCCCTTTCCAAAGTATTCGAATTGTTGGGTAAAATTGGTGGCCTAACCTTTACTTACGACAGTTAAGAAAAAAATAATAATCAATTTTTGGCGGGAAAATCAAGTAATAGCGTCAGAAAACTGACAAAATAAGCAACCAGGCAAGTTATAATATTTTGTTCTGGGAAACTTTACTGTGAAAATTATTTTTAAAAGCTGAAAAAATTATTTTTTATGGGCAATGGAAAAAAACGCGAAATATGAACGAAGCAGAGCGAATTGTCACAGTGTTTTTACCCCAGACAGTTCTGTAAACGCCGCAAATTGACCTCCATCCTCAAAGAAAACCCTCCCGAATGTGTAAGAAAATTTATAGGTCAATTTTTTTAGAAAAAGCAGCTGTCTTTCTGGGTGTTTTTAATTAGCAAAAACTTACGTTATTGTTTT